CAGTAGTTTATTTTTGTTTACAGGCATCTTTCTCTCTCTAGCTGGTGTGACTAATGCCATTGTGCATTTCCTGTCACTTCATACTCCTGGCCATCCTTTCAGCCACTTTTCTATCACCAGTCCTAATACAAAAATAAACTACTGACTTTATTGCTATTTGTTACATTTAAAAAATAGGTTTATGGTCTGCTCTCAATTGTAAAAGCAGCTTAAAACAAGTCTTGTTTTAATGAGAAATTAAACTCATGTAAGGTTGATATTTCCCTTTCTGTAAGTTAATACCCAGGGGGACTTCCCTGGGAAACTGGATGTCACCAGGCCTGGAGGTGGTCAGACACAGAAGTGCCCACTTGAGCCAAAGATAACTCCTTAAGCTGGGGAGAGGGGCTGCCACCCCATTAAGACCAGGCAAGGCTGAGCCCCGCTCCAGAGAGAACAGAGAATTAAAACCCAAATACCACACTTAAAAATTTCAACAATGCAGAAGTACACAGATGGTAGATATACCAGACCCAGATACCATCTAAAGGTGTGTCTGAAACTATAAACCATGACAGAAGCTGTGAGGAAGATGAACACTTAAGATGTAAGTTCCCAGCCCTGTGTTTGCCCCCTGTGGCCCCTCATAATGTAAAGTCTCTACAAGAGAAGGGGGTGTGGGGAGCGCTGGTCTCTGAGCGCCCTGGGGAAAGCTGAGCTGTGCAGACACCAATTTCAGCACCACCAAGGACTTGAATCCTGGCTTAGTGTCCAGTCAGGAGGGTGTTTTGTTTTTTGTTTTGTTTTGTTTTAAACCTGGGTTGCTTCTAGGGATATCTGAATGCTCAGAAAATTATATGCATGGGCATTTTCCTAGGGAAAAAACCCACTGCTTCCACCACATTGTCAGAAGGCTCTGTGGCCACGCCTTGTCCTCTCACCCTGGCAGGAAAAAGGGTCTTAAAAACCACTGCAATGATGCTGATAATGCTAACCCAGACTTTCTTCTCTAATGGTCATACAACTCTTTAAAACATGATGGCCTTAGAATGACTTAATAAAAAACTGTCACAGGAAGTTAAGAAAAATAGGTAAAGAATTTTCCTGCTAAAGTCACTATTTTGAAATGTCACATGATCTTCCTTCCAGTGATTGGATGAAATCCAGCATAGAGAATTATTTTTTATATTTGAGATTTTATATCCACATGATATAATTATAGAACTTTTAATAAAAGTAATCTGCTTTGAGGTACTTTATATTGGAAATGTTTCAGTGTATTGATTTAATAGCTCTGGGCAGAAACTAACAATTAACTACACTAATTTTAAGTATGTTTAATATTATTATTATTTGCCCAAAGCACATTTGGCAAATGTGCTTTGCTCTAAAATCCACTTAATGAATTTTTAACACAGATATTTCAAAATCATTGTGGAAATAAACACAAACATACATATTTATTCACAGAAAATGCCATCGTGGCTTTAATATCAAACAAAGCTGTCAGAGTTCACAGAAAGAGCATAAAGTGCAAAAGCTCCATTTCAAAAGGACGAATTTACTCCCAAAGCAATGGAGATTACATGCTGCCCCAGCCGGTGGGCACACCCCTCATACATCACCCCCTGCATAAACGGTAGAGTACAGAAGGACTATATCTGAAAATGCTACACTTGCTCTAATTACATATTGCAGTTATAAAACACTCTTAAATCTGGTTTAATATATAAAGATACAATTCAAAAATCGGTCCCTTAGAGTAGGGGCTATTTTTTAAAAAGTCCATAGGAGACTGATTCTGTGAAATCCACTGGGAATCCCAACCTGGCCCGAGACTTCTCTTTGGCCGGCTGGAATGCAGCACCCAGGAGAGCGCTGGCTAGGAAAGGTTCCGAGTCCACCTGGGAGAAAGGAGCTCTGATCAGGGCTCTGGCCAGGCACGCGTCAGCCCTCACCGTCCCTCACAGCTGGTTCCATGTCAGTCCCAAGGGCTGAGAGGCAGGGAGGGCTCAAGTCCCAGTCCTGGAGCCTCCAAGACAGCACTGGCTCCCGTAAGCATGACGGACCGTGAGACGCTTTACATGCCTGAGGAACCCAATACACACAGTAGGTGGTGGCATTTCACAAAGCCTGTGTCTGCCGACCATCAGCCTAGGCACTCTCCTGAGGGACAGGCAGAGGTCCCCCAAATGTAGCTTGTTACCAAATGGATTCAGATATCTGCTCCCGTGCACCTTAAATATGTTCACTGAAGGACTTGATTTATAATAATATAAAGGGGAGAGAAGATTCTAACCAGAAAAAGATCTGATAGCCATGCTGGGCAACTCCTAAGTGTCAAATCTCCACTTCCCTGCCTTAACAGGGTAGGGGAAAGATTCTTGATTGTACATTTATTAATGAAATAAGCCCTTCTTTAAAGCAATTACTTTAAATCAGCAAACATCAAACCTGGAGAGCCATCTATTTAACGACGATTTCCTATTACTCGTCAGTCCACGTGCAGAAGCATATCACAAAGTAGAATGCAGTCCATGATTTCTTGGGGCCCATTCGTGTCAGGCTCGATTCGCAGGGAAGAGTCAGTAGTCAGTCTCAGGATCCAGTGATGAGCTCTCAAGTGTCCAGCTAACTCGAGTGAACTTCAAAACCTGCTCTTTGTGAAAAATACCCAACTGACATTTATATTCCATTCAAACTACAGGATAAACTGCCAGCTCTAAAAGACATCTATTTAAAATTATATGGGGGGTGGGGGGGAAGAAAAAAAATGAGAATATACCAAAATATTGACAATGGCTGGCTGTGAGCTATAGAAGTAGATTACTTGAACTTTTTTGTAGTATCCCAATTTTCTTTAAAGAGCATGTAGTGCTATCGAAGCATTATAAATATATATGTAACTATAAATAGGAATGATGTCATCAACCTAACTTAAATAAGATTCAGTATATTCCTCCCACACTGGCAAGCTACGGTGATTGCTGCTCAAAAGAACAGTTATGTTTTGCCCTCCTCAATATACCCCTTCCACCCTTCTTCTCAGCCCTCATCGCATTAACACTAATCTCCATAGGGCACTGTGTCCTTTGCGTTTTCACTGCCTGCTATGATATTAAGGAAATGCTGTAAGTTTAACCTTAAGATAAATTTAAGCGAATAAAATAAAACCTATTTCACACTTTAGGGTTCCATAAAGATTTCTTACAGGGTTCTGCTGCTAAAATGACTTGAAAACCACAGAAGTAGAATAAAGTCATTCATTCTTAAACTCTGAATTCCATTTTTGAATGGGGTTTTCACTTTAGATCCTGTGCAAATTCTAGCCAGAGGAGGGGTTCCTGGACATGCCACCAACTGCTGCTGCCCAACTCTTAGATACCTGGGACAGTGACGCGACTCCCGTCCGCACCAGGACAGCCTGCCCTGCCCCCTCACAATGGAATGTTGCGAAGCAGGAAGCGCCTGAGTTAAAATGAGTATCCCTGAGGTCGTGAATTCCCACCTCACTCCTTCAGGGGAGCCTGGAGTCTTCCATCCATCCCAGTGAAGAGGAGATTTCCTTGTAGCCAGTGTCACTTTAGGTGAGAAAAACTCAGAAGGCAACAGGTTCGCCCTGCTGCACCGGCCAGTGACCCAGGCAGCTAGTGCGTGGCTACGGCCAGCACGTAAGTACAGGGACCAAATGCTGGGGGAGACTACAGGGAGCCCCTCCCCCTGTGAGAGCAGGGCGTGGAATTCCCACAGCAAAATCAGAGAAAGGACAGGGAGGTTCTTGAGGATAATTTCCAGGCCGCATACAGGAGGTTTCCAATGAGAAAAACGTCGTGTTTGCTCCCAATTCTCAACCAGGACCCCCATCATCACAACTGTCACGGCCCTTTGGCAGTGTTACAGGGGTCAGGCCGTGAGGAGGGTGTCTGTGTACGGGCCCAGCTATTCCTCTGTGTGCCTGAGGCTACTGGGCTGGGGGATATACAATGTCAATATTTAAAAACTCTGTCATCTTCAAGAATGGCTTAAGTGGAGAATAGTTTTTGGCATAGAGGGGTTTTCCGGTTAGCTTTACCCTCATCCGGTCAAGTCTCCATCTCTCAGCAGAGGTAGAAGTGAAAGGATCCGCAAATGCTTGTAAAACCCGGGTGACTGGGCGCTGCAAGTGAAAAGTGGCTTCCTCAGGCACAGCCCTGCGTGTTTCATTTGCTCGGCTTTTGCTTTAAGATGGTTTTCCCAAATGGAAACCCGGCGGCCTCCGTCGGGCGGTTGGAGGGCGTTGTCTGTCGCAGGATCTGTCCAGTCAACGGGAACGGAAGGGTCTGGAGCCCAGGACAGGCTCTGGAGCCCGCAGGCTCTCAGGGAGGAGGCAGCTCCGGGTCCCCCACTGCCACGGGGGGCGCAGCCCAACAAGCCACCGCATCTAAAAGTGACGCTGAGAAGACACACCTAGCACCTCAGTCCACTTTGCATCTTTGGGAACAGTGGGGTCTGGTGGTCCTCAGACACACCAGTGAGAGCCCAAGGGAACAGAATTTAAAATAAAATAAAATAGACCCCACCCCAACTCTGAGAACCCCAGGGCCTTTGCTGGCAGAAGCCCTGCAGAGGACGCCTAGGCAGGGAGGCCCGTGTCACCCCCTCCGTCACGTAGTCTTGACTGGCGATTTCTTGTGGGCGCACAGGAGGGACACGTAGGGGACCCCGATGAAGGCCCATTTCTCGCTGGGCCAGAACCTGATGACCGGGCCTTGCTCAGGGATCTCGGAGGCGGCATCGAAGTAGGCAAAGCAAACACAGCCCAGGTAGGCGGCCAGGCAGATGAGGATATGCCTGCGAAGGGAGGCAGAGGTGAGACCCGACCCGCAGAGGCTGTGCTGCCTGGGGGGGGCCCCCCAGCCCTCTGGCCTAACCCACCCCTCCCGCTGTAATGGCCCTGGGGCCTCTTCTAATTAGGAAGGGGCAAAGGTGACCAACAAGCCCCGGAAGAGCTTGAGACTTATAAATCTGGAGCAAAGGGAGCCTGCTTTAGAATGTTCTAAAATATTCCGGCTTGGTAACAGGAGCAAACATGCAAATACCTCTGGGGTTCAGCCAAGACTGAGGCCCAAGGATTTAAAACTGGCGCTAAGAGGAAGCGATTATAAAGCGTCCTCACTGTGAAGTGTCATGGGACACGCACAAAAATAATGAAGATCATACATAGGCCTCAGTAACGAAAGGCGTCCATGGCCTAGGATTCAGTTTAAAGAAGAAAAAAGGACCAGTTGGCATCATGTATAGAATGATGCTATTTTTGTTTTTAAAAAGCAGAATCAAAGAAATATAGATCCATAGTCAGGAAGGATACGCCTCAGGCCGTGAACAATTGTCATGGCTCTTTGGTAGATGGAATTAGGAGAGCTACTCTCTATATTTCTATGTTGTTTAAACTTGGTATAAAACAAATATGTCATTTTATAACTGGGGCAAAAAGATGGTTCAATTTTGAAACACCAAGCAGAAAGTACACCAAGTGTAGAAACAAATTAAGTTTAAGCCAAAGTTCTTACAGTGTAACCTTTGAATTTTACTTAAATTGCCAGTGTGCCCAGGGAACTTGGATTGACAAAAATGTACCATATCTTGAATGAGGTCATACAGACACAGGTGGATACATTTATCAAAACTCATCAAAATATACACTTAGATCTGTGCATTTTATTTTATTTTATGTTTTCAAGGGGAGAGCAGGAATGCAGTCCCCGCTACCACAAGTTTATGCAGTCAAGTCTCCCACATTTGGGGAAATTGCAGGGTCAGCCCATCGGGAGTGCAATGGATAAGCCATCCCCTGGGAAAACCACCTTCGTGATCATGGTATCTTCCCTACCAGGTAAGTATAAATCTGTGCATTTTATAACCTGTAAATTATAATTCAACAAATATACAGTGTATAAATTCACTAGTGTGAGTCAAGACTGAACCTAAGAAATATCAGGCAATGGATCCTAAGGCTGGAATCCCAATGTGAGCTGTCTTTTTTATTTTGCTGTTTGCAAAGAGTTCTGGAAGTCCCCAAGCCTTTTTTATAAAAAAAACTATTTTGTTTTTCAATTACAGTTGACGTACAATAATGAAAGTCCCCAAGCCTTAAACTGAGAGCAGATGGGGTCTCATGGTGGATATACGCAAGGTCACATGTTCAAGGAAATATAAGCGACTTCTTTCAAACCATATAGTTTTAGGCATCTCCTGAGAGAACTCAAGCGGCATCTGAATCTAGATCTAACAAAGTTTTTCCAATTCGTTACCAATAGAATTCCCTCCTGGATACTCCCAATTTGCAAGGGACATTCTACACATATTTCTCCCATTCCTTACTATTGGTTGCAATTAGCAGTCCCAGAGGGAACGATGACTCTGGGCTTGGAGCTGAGGTGGGTCCTAGGAAGGAAGCCACTGAATTTCCTCCTCAGCTTTCTGAGCGCAGGATTCTGCACACCGGGCAACCTGCTTCTTTGTTTTACCTAACAGGGTATCCTGAGCATTCCAGGTACAGATGCTCAAAGTCCCTCTTATCAAACTCCCTAGGCTGGTTTTATGTAACCAGCTGGTGTCGTGAACAATTCACTTTACTTCTCCGGGCCTGTCTCCACCTGTGAAATGAATGGGTGAGACTGTCCCTAGATGACCTGTGAGGCCCATGCTTTCACCTGGTCATTCAAACCCAAAAGGGAACCTGAATTGACAAAAATGTACGATATCTTGAAAGAGGTCATATTTGCCTCATTGTGGTTCCTGGTTGGACATCCCTGTCTGGTCCCCACATCTGTCCCAAGCCTTCCCCACCTCCCTCACCCTAGAGATCTAGCCAGAGCTCAGGTGACGGATTCAGTTTTCAGGGGCCATTATGCTTTAATAACGGAGCTAGAGGTCAGAGACCCGGACTTGAAGCAGAAACAATTAGGTCTTTCTGGCTAAGCCAGCTCTGTGGAGCCCATTCTGCTTTGGACAATAGTTTCTGTTGCTTCTGAAACGTCGGACAGTCTCTGGGGGGAGAGAGGGGCACTCGGGCTCTGCTCTGTCCCCTGGGCACACCTGTGCGACCTGGAGTGAGAGCGGGGCCTGAGGACAGTGCAGACCCCTGTCCCGCCGCCTCCCCACCGGCAGGCTTACCACACACAGTGCAAGTAGGGGAAGTGGAAAGACGACAGCAGCTCACAGAAGGCTCGGTCACTGATCCAGCAGAAGAGGGCCAAGGTCCACCAGAGGCCAGAGAAGAGGCCCAGCTTAAATACACGGACATTGTCACACCTGCACGAGATCCAGAGGCAACTAGCTGTCAGTCCTGGATTCCGCCCACCTCACTGGCCACTCGTCTGGTTCCTCACATCTCCCCAGTCCCTTGGCACTGGAATTCCTACCCAACACACCGTCTCACCAGCTCATGGATGTGAATCCCATAAGTACACAGATGACTCACAGAGCCATACCTCTCACCCAGGCCCTCCCTGACTTCAGACTCACATCCCTGACTACCTTCTTGACATGACCACCAATGTCTAACATAGATCTAGATCGAACATGTCCATCATGGACTCCTAACCTCTCCCCCACCTGAAACCTGTCCCTCTCCAGCCCTCTCAGGAAAAATCATTCCATGCTTTCAGAAGCTCAGGTCAAATATATAGACACTTTATTTTGCACTCTAAAGGGCAAAATAAACAGGCCTCTAGCCTTGCCATTTTAAAAGGTAAAATGAAAACCGACAGAAACAAATATATAGACAATTAGTCTGGGAAATATGTATTTCCCATGATGTTTCTTTTGCTGATGCCCTAATGACCAATTAGCTGTAGTGGTAACTAGCTTGTCAGGGACAAAATTTTAAGCATGGAACAGAAATTATGTCCTTTATAATTACTTACAAAGATTCGAGTATTAGGAAAATATGTCTCCCTGCTTAAAGATCACAATTGTGAAGCCGAATTTATTTAAACTAAGTAGTAATCTTCCCTAACCACTTGTCTTCCCTCATTTGCTCTTGTTTAAATATTATGAATTAAAAATTATTTTCCCTTTCCTTAAGCTATTTTTAATAAAATTCCAGGATAAAACATTGTTAGACTCAACAGTAAAGTCAAACTAGATTTCAGTGAATTCTCTAGAAATATCACTCAGTCCAGAATATTCTACTCACGTCAGACCTGATATAGGCCAACACCAATGAAGTGACTGCTACAAGTCCGTTTCAGATGTCTTTATCAGCTATTTAATTGTGTGTTTTCTAAAGAGCTTCAAGATCTGCTAGTGCTCTGTTTAAGTCTAATTCCCAGGTCCTTGAAGGCTCCTCCAAGAAGCCAACGAGACAAGAGCAGACAGTGTCCCTCCACGGCCAGCCGGCACCCTTAAATACCTCTTCAACCCCCTTGGACCCTGCCTGGTATTGCTGACAATCAAAGCAACCCCCAGATGCAGGGCAAGGGAAAGAAATGTATATACGTCTCCTCTCAAAACAAAGACCGAGAGAAAGCTGACTGAACACATCGCACAGAGCAACGTTCACAAAGGGGGACAGACACAGGACTTAGCTAAGACACCCCATGTCCGTGACAAGGGGAGAATGAATCGTGCATTTCTAAAAGTGGGCCCACAAAAAGCGTTTTCTAAGAGTATCAGAATGAGGCCATAGTCAGATACCTATTAGTCGGGGCTAGAAGACAGTCGTGTACACAACAGAGCTTAGCTAAAATGTTTCTGGATACCAACCTGAACTCTGAGTATACGGCTCCCCAAAGGAAAATGCTTACGCAAACAGCAAAGGCTTTGCCTGCTAGGTTGCAAATAAGAAGCCGGGTCTCGGAGAAAGCAGCGGCGTCAACAGTATACGCCAGAAGTCAGTGTTACCTCGTACATAGAAATTCACTTCTTTTTCCGTAGGAATTCTCTCCTTATTCTTGACATACGAACAAATCTATTCTCCTTGCTCCACAGTCCGCTCGCTCTGGGCTGCCTGGTCTCGGGCACGCCCGGTGCCTGCGATGCTCCCACTAGGTGAGCTTGGGCCCCCCAGGGTGTATCGGGCCCCCTAGGGTGTATCGGCCCCCCAGGGTGTATGGCACCCACGAAACAGCCGCTCCCTCTTTCTCAAAGCGAGCTCAAACCCGCTTTCAAACAACAGTCAGGAACGAACTCTTCACAGAGAGTCAAACTCCTCCACACGGGG